GAGGGTGTCAGTCTTTCAACAAGATGTACAGATTTGAGCAGCATCTTATGAAGATGGAGAGTGAGTGGTTGAGGATGTGGATGGGGGAGGAGGTTCAATCTTTCAACAACAAGATTGACAGATTTGAGCATTCTCTTATGAAAATGACTTGTGTATGTAAGAGAGGGAGATTGGGTTTGGGGGGGGGGTAGCGTTAATGGGAGCATGGTCATTATCGTTAACATGTAAAACACTCTTTGTTGTGTGTTTGGTCTTTAGTCCACCAGTGTGTGTGTGTCTGGGTTACGCTCCATGAGTCAAGAGTCACTGGTATTGCTCGTTCACTTTCGTCTGACCGCGCTTAAAATGGGCTTAAAAACAAATCGCTCTTTTTAATCTTTTTGGGTCTTTGTGTGCCGGGCTAAGAGTTAAGCAATCAACAAAGTTTAAAAGCCCATTCATAAAAGTCACTGCAAACTAAGGTTCCGGCTTGTTTTTTTATGTAAGCCAAAAGCGGGTAAAAAATAATACTGGGGGATTTACTGCAAACACATTTAGAAGTTGACATATTTTCCTCAACACCACTCTTAAACGTTAGCCTAAGAAACACGATTCAAGAATAAGAGGGAATATTTTTCGAGACTCGCGTGGAGACATCTAGACGGCTGGGGATGAAATGTGGGGGCAGGGCGGTGTTGCTGTTTCAAAATGAGCAATTTGTAGGAAAGGCTGCTGTAAATCGTTTATTTTAATGATCTTATGAATGCGTCCAAAGAGCGGTTTTCAATATAGGCTCAAAAGAGAAAACATTTTTTATTGCTGGGTCAAGATAAAAAAAAAAATAATTTTTGATTGGTTGCTGGCCTGCAGAGGTGTGTCATGCAATGAGTTAGAATTTTTTTAATGCTGTCAGATGAAAGTGAACAAGTAGGTCTACTTCTTTCTTTCCCCTCTGTTTCTGTCTGTCTGTCTTTCTTTTCCTCGTCACTAAATGACTGTCTTTATGCCGATATGCATGTCTTTACTCACACTGACAAACGAATGAACAAATCAAGCTCAACTTGTATTGCTCACCAGATGGTGGTTTTGTCCAGGAAGGGCTGTAAAGTGGAAACAATGTCATGTGGTTTTGTGGCTGGATTATTTCAGACACTCCAGGACTAAAGACCAAACAACCTTTTTCTTTGTTTGTTTTGGAACTGTACTGACGTCTCGTTTGTTTAAAAAGAAGAAAAAAAAGAAAATTTGTTCTTGCGTTCAGTTCCAAATGAAGAAGAAGAAGAGCCTGGGGGCCATGTACAAGAACCTGCTGGTGGACAAGAACATCAAGGGTCTGTTCAACAGCGTGGTGCCTTCCTCCTCCCAAGTGGCCAAGGCCCAGCCCTCGCGGGCCGAGGAGAGGCAGAAGTTGGCAGACGTCAAGGGCTGCGACTGGTTCCAGGAGCTGTCGGTCACCGTGCGCGTCTTCAAGAAGTCCAGTCTGCGTAATGAGAAGGCCCAGCGCAGCGCGATGATACAGGATTCCGCCTTCCACCGCCGCCTCCTAAAGGTAAGGGGGCTATGCTGTATGTGCTTGGGGGGGGTCAGTTCAGGTCTTGTGGGGTTGTGCGAGGGGTTCTACCTCTTTACTTTCTCTTTGTTGTTTCTGAGTGTGTGGGTGGTTGGAGGGTGTCACTGGTAGGTCCCACCTCTTTACTTTACCTATTGTGTTTCTGTCAATGTGGGTGTTTAGAACGTGCCACAGGCAGGTACTGCTTCTTTACTTTCTCTTTGTTGTTTCTGTCTGTGAGGGTGCCACTTTTTTATGCTCTGCTTCTTTACTTTCCCTATGCTCTTTATATCCGTCTTGCTTTTCCCCAGTGCTAAACAACCATTATGCGGGTGGTTGGTGGGTGCTCTGGTGTTGTTTGCTTCTTCTTTCCTATCAAACATCTATCGTCTTTATCTCTCCTCATTTTATGTGTTTGTTACTCTCTTGTAACACCTCTTCAGCACTTATATGACCTTATTATATTGCAAGTGCCGTAAAACACTTATTAAAACTAAACTAAAACAACCATTATTTGGTCAACGTCTTTCTCTTCCTTCAAACTCCAGACTCTGTTCTGTTTGACCATTGTTGTTAGGAAATATTGTTAAAGGGAGACAGATTGCCCCCACCACCCTGTCCCAAGATAGTTCTGCCCAAGATAGTTCTGCCCAAGGTAGTTCTGCCCAAGGTAGTTCTGCCCAAGATAGTTCTGCCCAAGATAGTTCTGCCCAAGGTAGTTCTGCCCAAGATAGTTCTGCCCAAGGTAGTTCTGCCCAAGATAGTTCTGCCCAAGGTAGTTCTGCCCAAGATAGTTCTGACCCCTCAAGCGCCTCAATCACCTTTTGAAATTTTGAGAGAATAATGAAGAAAAGATCGCCCAAATCTGAACCATAACTTGAGTACTAGTAGATTTTTTAAAATTCAACTAAAATCATGGAAAGAAATAGCAAAACAGAACGATGTATATTGCAAGATGTTCCATGATGTCTTTGTACAAATAACGACTGACAATTTCTCCGATGTGTCCAGGTGGTGGTGTCATCCTCATGTGTCAACGACACGGGCGTGTTGAGCTGTGTCAGCGGCGAGCACTTGCAGAACATGGCGCTAGATGTGCTCATATGGATGCTGGCGGTACAGATGAATGACGCAGATCGCAAGTGAGTGTTTGAGTTGTGATGGAACATCTTCTGTGTTGAACGGCTTCATCTGATAAACCCCCAGAAATTGATCGGGGCATTTGTGGTAACACGTGGAGGGGATCCGAAGTAAGACTACTGATGTGTTTTGTATTCTGTTTCAAGGGACTCTTTTCTTGCCAATGCCTGATGGTTGAACGAGTGATACAAGCTGGGTTATTCTACTCTTAAAACATGAGAGTGCTCGCTGTTCATCAAATGCTACCCAGACGAAAGCAAGTGGGAATATCCAATATTTAGTTCAATTACTTACTTTTTCATTCGAATTTGACTTCGGCAGATGGCGGGTGGCTGAAAGGGGCCACTTGTAGGACCTACTTCTGTTCCTCTGACCCTGTTCATATCTGCCTGCTTATCTTGTTTTTCCTCAGTACACAATCTCTCATATTGATTCTCTTTGCTTTTTTCCTTGCCCTGGAAGACTTATTGTTTCAATTTGCTTCATTTTACTCCAAAAAAAAAGAAAGAAACCAAAGAAAAACCCCCCCCAACAAATGAAGATGTAACTGATAAAGAGCAAACACAGAAACTAACAAACACAAAAGCTGTTGACGACTCATGTAGGTGATTGACATGTGCTCTGGAATTGTTTACTCCTTCTTTCCAATCAAACATCTTTTATCTCCCTTATCTCTCCTTCTTCTTCTTTTCTTTGTATGTTGCTCTCGTCGCTAGTAACGCCTCTAATCTGAGGCACTTATATGACCTATTTGTATTGCAAGTGCTGTAAAACTCTTTGTAAAAGTACCACTAAGACATTTCATGGTCTCCTGTTGTTCCGGGTGTCCAGGGGCATGGAACGGATGTTGCTGCAGTCTATGGAGGAGGAGCTGAAGGGTCTGGTGCGGGCGTGTTACATCGTGGGCTCCCGCAGCACGGCACACAAGTTCTCCCGCCTGATGGCCCTGTGCATGGAGTAAGTGACTGCCACTCATGGCTACACACAACTAAGTTGTTTTTTGATTTGGTCACATTCAGAACACAATTGAAGACTACACAGGGAAAACTGATGATGTCCGAACCAGTCTTTGTTTTTCCCGAATGTTTAATTTTCAACACAGTGATGACATAAAAAGATGACACCTCTCTAAAATAATCTTGTAATAAATATTTCAACAACAACAACACGAAAAATTCTCAGAATTCTGTACTTGAAAGAAACTGTAAGTCTCTAGATCAAATTTTTGGAACATGTGAGATCACCAGTTTTTCCCCTGAAGTCTTCAATTGCCATAGTCATTTTCAGTTTTGAGAAGTTTTAAAAAAGCAATTATGACCTGAGCCTGAGTTTATTTGATGACCTGAGCCTGAGTTTATCTGATGACCTGAGCAAAGGTGAAAATGTGGAGAAAGTGGACAGTGTCAATTCTGTTGTCACAGTGATGATGATATGAAAACTGGGTGAAAAAATGGACGAGTCACATAATTTTTCGCTTTGACGCATACAACATTGGGGTTTCGGAACCCAGGCAAAATTCAAAATTTCCTACCAACTGAAAATGTTTAATGTGTCCTGCGTGCTCATATGACCGTATGCAGTTGCAAGCACTGTAAAACACTTATCAAAACAACCCCAAAAAACTTGTAAGATTTCTCAGTCACATCCACACACACACACACAAGAACGGTGTCAACAAGAACCCCCCATTGACTCTCATCCTCTCGGCAGATGCTCCAAGCTGTCCCCCGACCCTGACCTTGCCCCTGCCTTCAACCACTCGCTGCTCCAAGCCCTCCTGGACAGCTTCCCGCTGCTGCCAGCGTGCGCCTCGAGTGGCGCGCTGCGCTGGTTCTTCTCGCTGCTCAACCGCGTCAAGTGCATGGACGCGGACCTAGTGGCGCGCCGATGTGACCAGTTAGTGCAGGCAGTGGCTCAGCAGTACCACCAGAGGGGGCTGCCACAGCAGGCCTTGCTCAAGACCAGGTGTGTGTGTGTGTGTGTGTGTGTGTGTGTGTGTGTGTGTGTGTGTGTGTGTGTGTGTGTGTTTGTCATGAGTGGTATGTGTTTGCAGTGATATGTGTAACGTGATGTGTTGCATGTCCAGGTGTGTGTGTCATGAGTAGTATGTGTTTGCAGTGATATGTGCAACGTGATGTGTTGCATGACCAGGTGTGTCTGTGTCACATGTCCTACATATTAGATACACGTGTCTGATATGTCTGTAAAGAGTCAGGTGATGACCATGTGTTGCAAAAGCAGGTGTGTGTGGTGTGTGTGTCAGTTCTTGCTGATTGTGTTGTGTCAGCACTAAATGACTTATGGTGTGGGTGTCCCTCACTTTCCTCGAACTGTGAACTGTAATTGTCATATATTGTATATGGGTGGTTGGTGGGTGCTCTGATGGGGTTTGCTCCTTTGTGCTTCTTTTCGTTTTACATGACTGTCTAGTAGCCCAACTTATCATCAGCACTTATATTACCTATTTGTGTTGCAAGTGCCGTAAAACTCTCACCTGTTCTTGTGCACAGTAGAATTGTAAAAGAGCTGATTTATCAATGTCATTCTCATACTGTGCCGGAACAACATAGAGGGAACTGCTGCTTTTTCTTTCCTCGTCCTGACTATCGTCATTTTTCCTCTACTTAAATTGTATGTTTGACACTCTCTTGTGAGTGGGTGGTTGGCGGGTGCTCTTCTGTGGAAAGCTTCTTTCCTATGTAACGTCTATAGTCTTTATCTCCCCTCCTTCTTGTTTGTGTTTGTTACTCTCTTGTAACACCTCTAATCTTCGGCACTTATATGACCTTATTGTGTTGCCAGTGTCGTAAAACACTGGAACTAAAACTCTCTTGTGAACTGCTATTTCTGGGTTGCCTTGATAGTCAAAGCAGACTTTGTGCTGTTGAGACTAGAGAGGCGAACAGAGTAAACCTGATTTCCCTGTTTGGACTTCTCTGTTAACATCCAGCCCTTGGCGCTCACATGACCTTATGCAGTTGCAAGCGCTGTAAAAACTCACTAAGAGGGTGGTTAGCGGGTGCTCTGGTGTTTTTTGCGCCTTCTTTCCTCTCAAACGACATCTCCCCTTTTTGTTGTTGTTGGTTACTCCTTTGTAACTTCTCTAATCTGCGACTCTTATGTGACCTTATTGTGTTGCAAGTGCCGTAAAACTTTTTAAAAACAAACACCCCATGTCGTTCATATGACCTTATGCAGTTGCGAGTGCCGTAAAACCTTACGAAAACGAAACTAAACTCTCACTAAAAACTGAAACCAATGTGTTGTGTTGTGCCAGGTACGGGCTCTACGGAAACCCCTTTGAGGCGGAGCTGTTTGACATGGAGCTGAGCGGCATCACCAAGCCCGGGGCGGCTGCCGCCCACAACACCGCGGCCAGCTCATCAGGCGCCACGCCCACCTCCATCTTCTCCAACGTGATGAAGCCCGTGGGGGCTCTGGGAGGCTCAGGTCTGGCTGCCGGGGTCAGCAAGGACCAGCCCGACCTGTTTGACATGCTGACCGCTGCCCCGGAGAAGACCGTCAAGAGTCAGGTAGGGGCTGCAGGACCACAACTTGCTCCTTGTATTGGCTTGGTTTTTTTTGTTTGTTTGTTTGTTTGTATTTTGTTTGTTGTTTTGCTGCTGTGTCCCTTTTTTTGGGGTGGCGTGTCCCTTTTTTTGGGGTGGCGTGTCCCTTTTTTTGGGGTGGCGTGTCCCTTTTTTTGGGGTGGCGTGTCCCTTTTTTTGGGGCGCGGTGTTTGCGGTTTTGTTCGTATCAACAATCATTGACTATGAGAATGTAAGTAGATACAGAGATGTTTCAACAGTTAGATGGATCTAGAAGAGAATATGAATCAACACTGTCTCCTTGTTGATTTCTTTTGTGTGCTTAGTTTAGCACAGCTTTCTTTTGTTTTGTCTTTTGGAACTGTTATCTTCAATTTCTTTTGTTTTGTCTTTTGGAACTGTTATCTTCCATTTCTTTTGTTTTGTCTTTTGGAACTGTTATCTTCCATTTCTTTTGTTTTGTCTTTTGGAACTGTTATCTTCCATTTCTTTTG